TGATACCACAAGATATTGAGATGCCTAAACTATAAAACATCTTCTGTGGAGAACTAGCTGAATATAGGGAGTGAAATTAACCACAGAGATATATGAAAAGATGCAGGGCTGGGTGGTAGTGGTTCATGCCTTTAATCCCAGCACTCGGGAGGCAGAGGCAGGCGGATCTCTACGAGTTCGAGGCCAGCCTGGTCTACAAGAGCTAGTTCCAGGACAGGCTCTAAAGCTACAGGAAAACCCTGCCCCCCCAAAAGAAAGATGCAGGGATAGGGCCATCTAAGCCCTTTGAAACTGAAGCCTTGTGTATCTGAGACAGAGCTACAGGATTTGATATTTGTCCTGCTCTGCTTCAGTCTTGCGTTGGTTCAATCTTCTCTCACTATGTCTCCATTTCTCTATTTTGGAGTGTAAATGGTATTCTATATTCTATACCATTGTATGTTGGAAAGATGTAACTTATTTTCTGATTTTTACAAGATGTTCTTTGCTGTGGGACACTGGTCTTGTACCTTGCAAAGATTTGTCACTTGTATTAGTTTAATAAAATGCTGATTACCAGTAACCAGGCAGGAAGGATATGTGGGGTGACCAGAACAGGAGAATTCTCTGGAGCAGAGATGCCATGCTCCTCTCTCCTGGGCAGACACACGTGATGAATCTCCAACCCAGGATGGACGTAGGCTAGAATCTCCCTGGTAAGCCACCTCATGGGCTACACAGATAATTAGAAATGAACTAGTCCAGGTGCGAGAATTAGCCTAGAAGAGGCTAGATAGAAATGGGCCAAGCAGTGTTTAAAAGAATACAGTTTGTGTGTTGTTATTTCAGAGCATAAGCTAGCCAGGCGGCCAGGGTGCTGGGGACGCAGCCCCGCCACTCTTATTACAACAACTCTGGGAAGAGGAAAGGCTAAGTCTCCAGTCATCACCCAGACATAGAGGAAACAAGATGAGAATGCCTCACTGATAAAAGGTACCAAACTATGTGGCTAACACAGACAAAAATTATGTACTAATGTAAGATGTGAGAATTAGTTAATAAAAAGCCTGAGCTAATAGGCCAACCAGTTTATAATTAATGTAGACCTCTGTGTGTTTCTTTGGGATTGAATGACTGAGACCAGGTGGGACAGAAACCTCTGTCCACAAGTCACTGTCAAGTGATTGTTTTGAGCCTCAGAAGAGACTTTTAACATTTGAAAATTGTAGGGGCTATTGCAGACTATGAGTATCATTGAAATGACCAAATTAATTTTCTTCTTGGATGACCATAACCTCTAGTGACCCAGGTCAGAATTTAATTGATTGAATGAAAACCTCACAGATAAGAAGATGTATTTTAACATGTGCCTCTTCTTGGTAACTTTCATTTGATTGCTTGTGAAATCATTAGTAGGAGGAGCCTCTCTGGATGAAATCTCTCATTGGGGCTGTGATATGATGTAGTAAAGAGGGCTACTTGTTTGTTCCCAGCTGCTCAGCCCTGAAATAATCACACAGAAACTGTATTAATAAATCACTGCTTGACCTTTTAGCTCTAGCTTCTTATTTAATGCTAACTCTTACATTTTAATTTAACCCATTTCTATTAATCTGTATAGCACTATGTGGCTGTGGCTTACCAGCTAAAGTTCCCAGCATCTGTCTCTGGCAAGGCTACATAACTTCTCTCTGACTCCACATTCTTCCTCCCAGCATTCAGTTTAGTTACCCCCCCCCCACCTAAGTTCTGCCCTATAGCTCTGCTATAGGTCCAAAACAGTTCCCTTATTAAACAATGATAATCACAGCATAGAGAGAGGAATTCCGTATCACCTCCCAATTCTTCAACTCCATCAGAGACTCCAGAAGGATATAATATTACCTAGGTAAATAGGAAGTATATTGTAAGCAACTTCCAAAACTCTAGAAATGACAAAGACATCTTGTTGTCTGGACAGTCACCCAAAGTTCTGTGTTGTTAGGGCATCCAATCTTCAGCCCACAGGTCCATACTATCAAGTAGACTTTTCCATAAAGTAGGAAATTTGAAGACCTGTTCTGCCTTGCAATGGAAAAGTCCATCAGTTGCCTTTTTCTGTGTCCTGCAGAATATCTGGCAGACTCTTTCATGAATCAGGAACCCTGTGAGTCCTGCATGTCTAGTTCATCAAGCAGTCCCGCCTAGAGCAGTTTCTTGCCCAAATGGCTAACAAACTCCATAAGGAGCCTCTTCGATGCTGATTATCCTCTTGAAGTAGATTGGTGCTGCCAGGAGCAGATGTGTCTCATTGTCATGAAAAGTCTTAAGCTCTTAAAACATTTTAAAGGTCATATTCTGAAAGTCTCTGAAATATTCGAAGAATCTTTATCTATCTGAAATACATTTCTGTACATCTAGAAAATCTAACTAACATGCTACTAACTTGACTATTACTATTATTGATGACTCTCTATTTACCTATATTTTAATTATACATTACATTTTTAAATGAGCTAGACAAATACAATGCCTTAATCAAGAGCAGAAATGCATATAATAAAATTGACCTTAAATTAGTATCAATAACCCAAGATCCATACCAATGCAAATCTCTATAGCATATTCCCTTTTAAATGTAAACAAACATTTATGAACAGTATTTGGGAATATGGGCATAGTTCTCTCCAAACTGCTTCCTGCTCTTTATTTGGTGAAGTAATTTTTGGGTGTGTTCATAGTGACCTTTTGGGTGGTCTTGATTCATCAAACCACATTAGTCTGGAGGGATTCCACAGGTTCTCATCCTCTGTGGAAAAAAAAGGAGAACCTCTTTTGCAAAGCAACAAATCCTTAGACCATGTTCCTGAAGACATGATACCTTTAAAATATATATGTTGGTTACTTAGCTCCTTTACAGCCAAAAAAAAAAAATTAAAGAAAACACAATAATATACATAATCCAGAGACTCTGTAAATAGTCCATGTTTATGTGGCTTATTTTTTTATTCTATTACTTTTTAATATTTTATTATCTTTACTCCTTTAATTTATGATTGTCTACACTCTGTCTCCTTAAAGATTTTGTTTCATTTTTATAAACCATTTACTTCTTTTTATAACTTTCTATATTTTTCTTCTCTCTCCCAAGCCTATGTACATTTTTTAAACACACTATGTCTCATTTAGAGGTCTTTTATGTATGAATCTGTCCTATTGTGTGTCTGTAATTCTTTACTGTTTAGGAGCGCTTCTTAAAGTGCTAAGCACTTTGGAACTTAAGCTGTGCCATTGGTAGAGCAAATACGGCCTGCCTGCTCACTCCACCCAGTCCAACATGGCAGAGGCATGCTTGCTGCCTCTGAGAGCCATGTACATTGCCCCATTTTCAGGCATATAGGGGATGAAAGTTGACAGTAGCAATCTGCTCACAGATCCCATAGCCAGTCCTCCAGAAAGTCAGAGTTCACAGTGGCAGCATGGCCCAGAAAGCCGGCATTTCAAAATGGTGCAGCTTTTTTTCCTGCTATCTCTAAATCAGAAAAACTCTCTTAGAGGAGCCGCAGCATGTCACCAGTAAGCAAAGCCCATTTGGGAAAATAAATGTGGCTAAACGTCATTTTTTTAGTGTCTAGAATTCTTTTCCAAGCTCTCTAAGATTTTAAGTGGATTTTAGTTGGCCACAGAAGCACCAGTTTTTTGTGGGAAAGCCACTTGTTAGTTCCCAGCTGCTCAGCCCTGAAATAATCACACGGAAACTGTATTAATAAATCACTGCTTTGCCCATTAGCTCTAGCTTCTTACTGGTAACACTTACATATTAATTTAACCAATTTCTATTAATCTGTGTATTGCTATGTGGCTGTGGCTAACCAGGTAAAGTTCTCAGCATCTGTCTCTGGCGGGGCTCCATGACTTCTCTATGACTCCGCCTTCTTTCTCCCAGCATTCAGTTTAGTTTTCCCCACCTACCTAAGTTCTTTCCCATAGCTCTGCTTTAAGCCCAAAGCAGTTCCTGTATTAACCAATGATAATCACAGCATACAGAAGGGAATCCCACAATATGAGTTTCTGTAGCCTCAACCCATTTCCTGTTCTTTATGCCTACCATGTTGTGGTTGAAGCTAATCAGTCAGCTTTCTTCTTTTGCTGTCATAACTTCCCCACCATCATAAATTCTAACATTAAATCACACAAGATTCAGTAGAATTAGTTGCTATTTGGTGCCTAGGTGGTTTAATAGCCCACTGTTTTCATTTTTGTTAGTTTATTTTTGGAGACAAGGTTTGTCTTTGTAGCCCTAGCTGTCCTGAAAGTAGCTCTCTATACCAGGCTGGCTTCAAACTCAGAGATCTTTTGACTCTGACTCCCAAGTGCTGGGATTAAAAGTGCGCCAGCATTCCTGGCTTTTGTTTTAATATTGTTGTATGATGGTTTTTTTTCCTATTAAGCATCTGCTATTGTACTGAGCTTCACCCATATCTTGAATTTTAAAATTTGTGAGAGGGTTTCATTATGTTTCCCAGAATGGCATGTATTCATGACATTAATACTGCCTGTACTTTTGAGTCATTGGATTGCAGGTGCATAAGCTTCTTCCTTCTTGTTTTGTTTGTTTTGAATTTTTATTTTAAAAAGAATATTTTTGTAGTAGGAGGAGGGTGGCTTTTTGTTCCCTTCTTGGTGACGAACATGGAATTGCTTGTCGTCCTGGCTAGCTTACACCCAAAATAATCACACAGAAGCTGTATTAATTTAAACACTACCTGGTTCGTTATCTGTAGCCTCTTATTGGCTAACTCTCACATATTGATTTAACCCATTTCTAGTAATCTGGATATAACCATGAGGTTGTGGCTTACCGGGAAATATGCAGCATGTCTGATATTGGCACCTCCATGGTGGTTCTCTATGACTCTGCCTTCTTCCTTCCAGAATTCAATTCTGTCTACTCTGCCTACCTCTAAGTATCTTACTTCTAATTATTTAAGTATGCATGGATATGCACCATTTGAGTACCTGGTCTTTACATTGATCAAAAGATGGTATTAGAAACCCTAAGCTGGGAACAACGGATAGTTATGATCCCCCATGTAAGTCCTTGAGCCCACCTGTATGCAAGACCAGGAGGACTCTTTACTGTTGATCTATCTTTCCTGCTCTGTGTTGATTATTTATAATCAGCATATTAATTGCTATTGTTTTCATTTGTCAATTTGTAACTTTAAACACACAGTGCTTTTAGTAAAATGTTATTTATGTTGCAGTTAAAATTGGGACACTTCAGGTTTCTAGTAGATGAATAAAGAGTTCAAGTGAATGCATAACTCTTTGTAGAAACTTCAGCAAAAACCTATGAGTTATTTCTTTTATATTTCTTTGATTTTTTTTCATGTGAAACAGATATTTGATCTGTATTTCTTGTTGTCCTAGAAGTGATTGCATAGACTAGGCTGGTATTCAACTCAGAGGAAGATAGATATAACATGCCTCTGCCTTCTGAGTACAAGGATTAGAGGTATGATTCAATACATCTGGCTTTTTCATCTTATTTTTCTTTTTGTAGGTAGGAATTAATCTTTCATACAGTTTCTCTTATCTGTACTCTGTACTCTTGATCTGTTTACATATCTTTCATTGTTGGTTAGTAGGCATTTCTCTTGTATGGCGATATTCCATTCAAAGGGTTCAGAAATGACAGAGGTGAGCCTCCTATTCATTTTGCTTCTAAAGTGACTTGGTGATTAAATTATGATGTCTGTGTCATGGAATAAGTATGGGGAGCACCAGAATTATATGACTATATTGTCAAAGAAGTATACATTTACAGTGTTGTCAAAATCATGCTTTTGGTTGTACACATGTATGGAATATTTTAGAATACAGTGACCTATGATGATGTGCATGTCGACTTCATTTGGGAAGAATGGACTTTGCTGGATCCTTCCCAGAAGAATCTCTACAAAGATGTGATGGTGGAGACCTACAGAAACCTCACTACTATAGGTAGGGCTGAATTATCTTTCATGTTTCAAATAAGGGGACAACTGTTCATTGGTTAATGGTGCACTTTTGTAATATGATTGAGAAAGAAGAATGGGGTAAATAAATCAGTCATGGTTGTAGGGTTTGCTACAAATGGTAGCTAAATTTTTTTTTTACAATTTTTAATATAAAATGTCTGGCACTGTATTTTAGGATACAGTTGGGAAGACCATGAGGTTGAAGAACATTGTCAAAGTTCTAGAAGACATGAAAGGTAATACCTCTGAAGAATTGTAATACATCCTATATGTTTAAAAAAAGCAGCAGTGTATATAAGAACATGCATTGATAATTGTTAAATTCTCACAAAATCATATACCTTAATTTCAGATAGGTGAACTGCATTTGCAAGTCATTCTTTTAAGAAAGAAGTCAAGGAAACAATGTCTTAATTTATATTACCATTTGAATCATAATACAATGAGAACTATACTGTAAAATTGTCTGTTTATTTCATATCATTCACATTATAAAAGATATACATGTTGAAAAGATGATAAGTATATCTCTAAAACTCTCTATTACACTAATAGTCCATAGAAAAGGTAGTTTAACCCATATACTTGTGACTGTGTTAAGTTTAGTGAGGGGGCCGTTAGAGTCATGAATCAAGGGGCAGCTGTTGTAGAGAGGCCTTAATCCAGATGCCACAAGTCTATGAGGACATAAAGTGTGAACTCAGTGTGGAAATCTTGTATTTGTTATTCTTCCTTTACTAGGTATATCATATGTTACTCTGGATAGAAGCCACATGAGCATAGGGATGTGAAAAGATATAGCATATCTCTCTCAGAACAAACAGAAGATATGTAGCAGTCTCCATGTTGAGTATACTTGTTGAATTTGATGTAAAAGTATACAAATAATTAGTTTTATAGCCTCATTGTTAATATATCAACAATCTCACATTTCAAAAAAGCACCATGAGTACTAGGACTGTATAAATATTTCTCTTTGTCCTAGTTTACTTAGCAAATGTAGTATCACTCACAGTAGAGGAAACATTATGAATGCAATAAGAGTGGTAAAGCTCTGAGTTTTTTCAGTTCTCTTCAAATACACGAAAATTCTCATGTAGAAAATAGATTCTGTAAATGTGAATCATGTATCTTTAAAGATGAAAAGCAAGCCTTAATTATGGGGAAAAACAAAATTGTAAACATGGTAATAAAACGTTAACATATAATTCCTCTTTAAAATAGAACTAAATTGTAAAATTAATTCATACAGATAAAAAATTCAACAATGTACTAAATGTAGTAATACTTTCATATGTATCATTATCATTGTAGGCATGAAAAAAGTCAAACTAGAGAGAAAACTTCTGCATATACTCAATGTATTAAAGCCATTACATGTGACGGTCATCTTCACATGCCTGAAAAAACACATACTAGATTAAAACCCTATGAAGGAAATGAGTGTGGTCAAGCCTTTTCACATCACAGTCATCTTCAAAAGCATAAAAAGACATACACTGGAAAGAAACTCTATGGATGTAATCAGTGTGGTAAAGCCTTTGCATGTCACAGTGATCTTCAAAGGCATCAAAGAACCCATACTGGAGAGAAACCCTATGAATGTAATCAGTGTGGTAAAGCTTTTACATGTCACAGTGATCTTCAAAGGCATGAGAGAACCCATACTGGAGAGAAACCCTATGAATGTAATCAGTGTGATAAAGCCTTTGCATGTCACAGTGATCTTCAAAGGCATGAAAGAACCCATCCTGAAGAGAAACCCTATGAATGTAACCAGTGTGGTAAAGCCTTTGCATGTCACAGTTACCTCCGAAAGCATAAAAGAACTCATACTGGAGAGAAACCCTATGAATGTAATCAATGTTTTAAAACCTTTGCACATCACAGTACTCTTCAAACACATGAAAGAAGCCATACTAGAGAGAAACCCTATGAATGTAACCAGTGTGGTAAAGCCTTTGCACGTCACAGTCATCTACAAAGGCATGAAAGAAGCCATACTGGAGAGAGGCCCTATGAATGTAATCAGTGTGGTAAAGCCTTCGCACGTCACAGTGATCTTCAAAGGCATGAAAGAACCCATACTGGAGAGAAACCCTATGAATGTAACCAGTGTGGTAAAGCCTTTGCATGTCACAGTTACCTCAGAAAGCATAAAAGAACCCATACTGGAGGGAAACCCTATGAATGTAACCAGTGTGGTAAAGCTTTTGCACGTCACAGTAATCTACAAAATCATGAAAGAAGCCATACTGGAGAGAGGCCCTATGAATGTAATCAGTGTGGTAAAGCCTTCGCACATCATAGTGATCTTCAAAGCCATGAAAGAACCCATACTGGAGAGAAACCCCATGAATGTAATCAGTGTGGTAAAGCCTTTTCATGTCACAGTTACCTCCGAAAGCATAAAAGAACTCATACTGGAGAGAAACCCTATGAATGTAATCAATGTTTTAAAACCTTTGCACATCACAGTACTCTTCAAACACATGAAAGAAGCCATATTGGAGAGAAACCCTATGAATGTAACCAGTGTGGTAAAGCCTTTGCATGTCACAGTAACCTTCGAAAGCATAAAAGAACACATATTGGAGAGAAACCCTATGAATGTAACCAGTGTGGTAAAGCCTTTGCATGTCACAGTAATCTACAAAGGTATGAAAGAACCCATATTGGAGAGAAACATTGTGTATGTAATTAGTGTGGTAAAGGCTTTGTTTATCATAGTCATCTTCAAAGACATGAACTAACACATACTGGAGACAAACCCTATGAATGTAATGAGTGTGGTAAAGCCTTTGTACGTCACAGTACTCTTCAAATGCATAAAAGATCACACACTGGGGATAAACTCTATGAATGTAATCAGTGTGATAAAGCATTTGCATGTATGAATAATGTAAATCATGAGAAAAAATCATACTGCAGAGAAACCCTATAAATGTATTCAGTGTGGTAAAATTTGTGCTTTATATAGGAGTAAAATTTTTGTTTGCAGCAATCTTTTAAAATCTTTGCATATTACAGTAGACATTGACTACCTGAAATAAAAAAGAGGACTTCTTATTATACAGTATTTGGTCAGATCTTTAGCCAAAACATTTATAATCAGCTACACAGTGATTTGTTATTCCCCTCTGTATACTGTGAATATATTTTGTTGTCTTTGTTTAATAAAAAAAAAGCTGCTTTGGGTCTATGGCAGGACAGAATAGAGCAAGGCAGGAATTCCAAGCAGAGATAAAGGAGAAAAGAAAGTGGAGTCAGACTCCATGTATCTGCTGAAGGAGACAGATGCCCTGGAATCTTACTGGTAAATCACAAGTCTTGTGGTAAAATAGAAAATAATAGGAATGAGTTAATTTAAGATGTCAGAGGTAGTTAATAAGAATTCTAAGGTAGCTGGGCGGTGGTGGTGCATGCCTTTAATCCCAGCACTAGGGAGACAGAGACAGGCGGATCTCTGTGAGTTTGAGGTCAGCCTGGTCTACAAGAGCTAGTTCCAGGATAGGCTCCAAAGCCACAGAGAAACCCTATCTCAACAACAACAACAACAACAAAAAAGAATTCTAAGCTAATAGGCCAAGCAGTGTTTTAATTAATATAGTTTCTGTGTGATTATTTTGGGTCTTGGCAGCCAGGAATGAACAAGGATCTTCTGCCTACAACACAGAGCTATTTCTTCTGTAGAAATAAATTTGACAGTGTTAACAATCTTTTCAAGCATTATGATGTCATTTTTATACTGTTTGTACTTACAAACTCATGGTAAAATGAATTTATGAAGTCCTATGTGTAGGGTAAATGGGCCAGCCAAAAAAACACATCCTGACTCTGAAATCAGAGCCAGTGAAATACATAATTTTGACTCTGAAACTGGAGACAAAGAAATATATGCTGACTCTAAAAGCAAGATAAGGAAATACACTTTGTTTCTGAATCCAGAGCCAATGAAAGAAACACCTGACCCTGAAACCAGACTTAAAAGACTATGAAAGGCAAGTGACAGAACATACTTTGACCCTAAAACAAAAGCCAAAGAAACACACTTTACCCTTGACCAACTGAGCACAAAACCAGCTAATCCTTAAGCTCAAGATCTACCAACCCCTGAACATGAAATCCAGCCAATTTCTGCATTGTTCAAGATCAGGGATTGACATCTAACCAGTTCCCACCCTGAGAACCTTCTCCCTGGGAATACTCTGTGACTAAGAAGTCCTATATAAGTTCTGTACTTGTTCAGTTGGCTTCTGCCCTGGCAGAGACAGCCCCTCTCCTGGATTCTTCCCTTCCAAATAAATTTCTTGAATGAGTTTTGGGTGAAGACCTTCACTGTAGTGGTAAGAAACTTTGTAGTGGATTGGAACAGAGAAGCTTTGGTCACCTCTGCTGGCAAACTCCCTTAAAGGAGCAGGGCAGAAGTAGCAACTCTTCACCAGAGACTGCAACATTTCTGCAAGTTTCCCATGAACTCCAGTGAAGCAGAGAAGTAACAATTTGGGCTGAAGCTGAGAAAAAAATTGGCATCTCTGTTAGGAAACTCCCTAGTGGAGTGGAACAGAGAAGCATTGGGCACCTCTGCTGGGAAACTCCCTTAGGGAATTGGAACAGAACAGCCATGGACATGTCTGCTTTGAAGCTCTCTTAGCAGAATGAAGCAGGGCCCAGCTGTGATGGCTCATTTGGAGAGGAGCAGTTTTGCTACATCCTGCATGGAGAACATCTCCCACTGGAACACAGCCTCACATATAGCCGGACTTCCCAATAGCCAGTATTTGTCAGGGACCATCTTTGACAAGTATACCCGTTACCAGGGTAGGGGTATGGGGATTAGATAAATAAGTAAGGAGAATGAAGACACAAGTGAAAATAATAAAGCAAAAGCATAGGATAGTACTGGCAGGGAGTTTCAGTGAATACTGTAAATCTGCCTGCATTTAATTTCCCATTATGTTTATACCCCAATACAACGGGGGGAAGAAGACAAAAGACTGCTTTAACACAATGCAGAGGACAACTAGAACAGTTACTTGCTTCAATACTTTGATCCATCAAGTCCTTGATTATTGAGAAAAACATTCTGTTATTCAGGCAGTGAACCGACCCTAGACCAAGGATCCTAAAGGCAGTCATTCCTTAGGCCAAACATCTTAATTCAAAAGAAGGGGCAGAAGTATGTTTGAATTCTCTCACCTTTGCTCAAGGGGGAGTGGATTTATCTGCCTGGGCCCTCTTAAAATCCAAAACACAAAACAACCACACCTTAGGTCAGGGTGTGTAGCCACACCTGTTAACAACTTTGCCACCCTGAAACTCTGACCTTCAGACAAGATGGAAATAGGCTCATGGTTTGGGGCCTCTACAAGGATACCTTTTCTTGTCATAGCTGTAGGTATCCAGTACACTTTCCTTTCACAGCTGTAGGTATGGCCTGACTTCTAACAATCAGGCTACCATTTTCTTCAGAGCCCTAGGTATCAGGCTACCTTCCCTCCACAGCTTCAGTTATAGCCAGACTTCTCAACAGTCAGGATTCCTTTCTCCTTATAGCTGTAGGTATCCAGTATACTTTCCCTTCACAGCTGTAGGTATGTCCTGACAGGACAGTGAGGGTACTTTTCTCTTTAGAGCTATAACTATTCAGAATACCTTTTCTCCACAGTTTCAGGCATAGCCTGACTTAATAACAGTCAGGGTAGCTTTCCTATCAGCTGTAGATATCCAGGATTGTAATTTGAGACTGTTCAGGAAGTTTCTGGAGCCATCTAGACCCAAATAGTCACACAGAAAATATATTAGTTACAACACTGTTTGGTCTGTTAGCTCAAGATTCTTATTGACTAATTCTTACATCTTAAATTAACCCATTTCTATTAATCTCACCACAGGCTGTGGCTTATCAGTAATGTTCTGTTCTGGCATCTTTCTGCTTGAACAACTACATCTCTTTTACTCCACCTATTCTCTCTCTCTCTCTCTCTCTCTCTCTCTCTCTCTTCCAGCCTGACTATATTCTGCTCTGCTGTAGGCCAAAGCAACTTTTTTTATTTACCAATGGTAATAAATCATGTTCACAGCATACAGAGGGGAATCCCACATCCCAAGATACCTTCTCTTCACAACTGTAGGTATAGCCTGACTTCTGACAGTCAGTGTTGTAGGGAGGTTGCTTGTTTGGTTCCCAGGCACCTGGCTAGCTTAGATCTGAAATAATCACACAAACACTGTATAAATTAAACAATTGCTTGGCCCATTAGCTCTGGCTTCTTATTGGCTAAGTCTTACATATAAATTTAACCCATTTCTATTAATCTGTGTATGGTCTTGTGGCTGTGACTTACTGGGTAAAATTCCCAGCATCTGTCTTCAGCATCTCCATGGCATCTCACTTACTCTGCCCTTCTTTCTCCCAGCATTCAGTTCAGTTATCCCTGTCGAACTAAGTTCTGCCCTATCAACAAGCAAAGGCATTTCGTTATTCATTAATGGTAATCACATCACACAGAGGGGAATCCCACATCAGATCATCGTATCTTTCTCCACACAGCTGTAAATATCCAGACTACCTTCCTTTCATAGCTGTAGGTATAGTCTGACTTCTGACAGTCAGGATAACTCCTTCCACCCAGAGCTGTTACACTTGCACTATGAATTTTAACAGTAATGTAACCCTTTTAGATTTTATATTTCTCCTCAATTGAATGGAATCACTGATTCAGGTGTAAAACTTTATTGATTTATATTTGTTCCTTTTCTGTTGTTGTGATATAATGTCTAGGTCAACTTATAAAAATTAATTTGGCCTTTGGCTCCAGCGGGATACAGCATCACCATGAAAGTGACATGACAGCTGGACAGTGGTGGTGCATACTTTTGATCCCACACTCAGGAGGCAGAGGCAGGTGGGTCTCTGTGAGTTTGAGGCCAGCATGGTCTACAAAGCTAGTTCTAGGACAGACTTCAAAACTACAGAGAAACACTTTCTCAAAAAAGAAAGAAAGAAAGTGTTATGGCTACAACTGTCTAACATGACAGCTAAAACAGGAAGCTGAGAACTCAAATCCTTGATCTACAGCATGAATCAGAGAGTATAAACTAGAAAAGCCTACCCCCAGTGACTTATTTCCTCCAGCAGGTCAGCATTTCATAAGTCTTCCCAAATGATTCCATCAACTTAGAAGGATTGATTTCTCAGACTTCAAGCCTGCCTGATTGCTTCATGGTGAAGAAAAACTCTGTAAGCCATTAGGTGCCTTAACACCTATATTATAGGAATGAATTCTTACATGAGAAAAATTTTCATGAGTGAAAACATGTTTAAAGAGTTGTTTTGATTGTGATTATGGTGTGGGTATGTGAATGTGCATGCTGGTTTCTGATATATTAGATCCTAGGATTTTATTGCAGAAATTACAGGAGGGTGTCAAAAAAATCAGACCTTGGTCCAGGTAGCAAACATTTCTTAACTGCCCAGCCATGTTTCTAGTGCTCTAACTATTTTAAAGCCTATTTGTATCTATTAAAAGACAGAAATAGGAATAAACTCACATAAAAGAAAACGCTTTCTGAAAATGATTTTGTAAAGGCTTTAGACATTACAGTTGTCTTCAGCTTCAAGAAAAAAATAATGATCCATTTATTTTTCATCATAGCCTTGAAGGAAGTAAATTATTTACCATGCTCACTGAAGACTGATGGTAGAGAGCACTGCATTGTGGTTTCTACTTTGAAACATTTGAGGTAGATACTAAAGTGTGCTCCATGTGTGACAGATCCATTTAGTGGAGTTTATTTTGTGGTCCTTATATTTCTTCTGTGACTTTTGTTAATCTGTTGTGTTTTTACTTAGTGATAGGTATTTTTCTACTATAATGTGTAGAATGGTAACCCCATCATCTAATTGATTCATTTTTTTTTATCTAAATATCAGGCAGTGTGTGATCATACTTTTTAAGTAAGAGTATCTATGAAATGGTGATGGGTTGTTGCTCCTGGTTTTGTTTTTCGTATTTCCACAAATTCTCAGATTCCCTTGAGATTTTCTTGTTTGTTATTCAGTTTTGCCTAGATGTTAGTAATGATTCAGGGATACATTTGAACTCATGATCCTCAAGTGTCTACCTCCTTAGTACAAGTCTAAGGGTAGATGATGTACTCACAACATTTGCTCTTTGGTCAACACAATTTAACAATGTTAATGTTAAAAATGCTTAATAGAAGAGAATATAAGAAACATTAATGATCTCGTGTGTGTATTCAAGACAGTATTTTCATTTATCTGGTAGAGATGTAATAAAGTAGGATAATGAACATTCAACTGTGTATCTCATACCATAGCTTGATGTTTTATATGTGTGTTATAAATATATATTAGAATATATATACATAATACTGATGTTCCATGCTTCCCTGGTCCCGATTAGTTAACCATTTTATCTTGAAGAATTGCCTTCTAAGGAAATTATCCAGAGATGTCAGGTAATGTAAGGGCACTAAGATTTATTTTGTAACAAAGATTTATGGTGTGTGTGCAATGTGATTATGGGTTTTTAGGACCAATGCAGATATGTGGAGACCAGAATACCACTTTGCAGTTTCTACTTTTGGTCCTCTTAATATGATGATCAAGGTCAGTTTTCCATCCTTGCACACCACAGACCTTTCCCTTGGAGCCATTTCCCTGGTCCTCAAATAAGATTATGAGGAATATTATAATAGTAAACTATTGTCCTCTTTTCAGATTGTAAACAAGGACAGATGAACACTGTATAATTTGAATAAAAAATCATCTTTGCATAGGAAAATATTTATATGATCAAACTGCCACACCAACTCCTGAGTCGTCTGTGTGACATGACATATGTCATTATACCGGACAGGAGCTACGTATCCTATGGGACTAGGCTTCCTGGAGGTCAATGGAAGACAGCCTGGTATTAGCCACTGCTGAGGCATAGACGGGTTTCTCGATTAGCTGGCTGTGCGGGATATGAACTTTGCACGAATCCTTTCATAATAACGATAGTCTTTATATATACAAGACAAGGATAATTCTGTTCAGAAACAGCTCTGGGATAAAGAAGCACAGTATGGGAATGTATAAGACTACAGCAGAACCTTTGTCATACACAGGGTGTATGGTGAGCAAGGGAATAAATGGGTTAATGTTGATGGAAAAAAGACTGTTATATTATACTTTGAACTTTATGGATAGGCTTGCTAGATCCCAACCCCCATGATGTCTGCTGCATAAGAAGGTACTAAAAAGTATAGTTCAACAGGTGCAGAGAACTGATTAGGTATATTTGGTCACTAGATGAAATAAAGGGTTAGGAAGAGGAAGGGCCATGATAGCAATATTGAGACAGAAACTTTCTATTCATAAGATGAAGCCACTTGTCTGAGGTCTACAGTCCCAAGGACAAGATTTCCTCTTCTAAGGATGCTTTATGTCTAACACCTGTTCCTGATAATGTACTTTTCTTAAATATTGCTGTGACTAAAAGAAGCTTTCATACTGTGCCAACCAATGACACATGACCTTCTGATTTGTTCTTTGTTTGAATACTATATAATGAAAACATAAATTCAGTAAAATTGCAGCAGATTCCAACCACTCTCTTGTGTGTTGTGTCTGTCTGTCATTTGCCGAACTTGTGCCTTCCTGTTACCAGGACCCTGCTTCTCCCATGGTCTGAGTGGCTCCCCTGAGCCAGTCCGTGGCACAAACATCTTTTTAACTTGTTTATTCTGGGGACTAAACGTTTGTTTATAACACTTTCTCAAGAACCATAATTGAATTCCAATTAATTGTCTCATTCATTAAAATTGGTTGCTGATAAGCCTGATGACCTGTGTTCTATCTCTGGGTGATCCATATTGCTCCTACTAGTTTTTTCTTTTATTTCTAAACTTGGGAGGTAGCATATGCACACTCCTACACACATAAATAATTTTTAATCCTGAATAAGTGCCATTGAGACCAATTGCAGTCAAAGAAATCCCTAGGTTTTGAAGGCGTAAGTCATAAACAATGCCACACCAGTTTGGAATTATGATTAATAGGGTGGTATTTATTTAAAGGGGAAAAACCTTACAGATCACCGTCAGCCCTCTGCGCAAGCAGGGAGGGAGTCTAGTCACCGGCAGAGCAGGAAGTGAAGAGAGAGAGGAGAGGGAAGTGGCAGCTTTTTTAAAGGGAGAGGGTCCCAGAGTCCCAGGGTCCCAGGGTCTATGTTAGCCATGTGGCTTGGTACTGTTATTAGTGAGGCATTCTCGTTTTGCTTCCTCTATGTCTGATTTCCTCTGTGACAATGCAGACCGTTTTTCCTCTTCCCACAATTCTCATGTTCCTGTTGCCCTGCTTCTATTTCCTGCCTGATTGCCCCACTAACATAGGTAATGAATCAAATGGACTTAGCAGGCATCTATAGAAAATTTCACCCAAATAGAAAAGAATATACCTCCTCGGTATCTCACGTAACCTTCTCGAAAATTGATCACATACTTGGTAACAAAGCAAACTTCCACAGATATAAAAAAAAAAAAGTTTAGTAACCACCTGTGTCTTATCGAATCACCATGGAATAAAGTTAGAATATAACAACAATTCAACCCCCAGAAAACCTACAAACTCATGGAAACTGAACAGTCAACTACTGAACCACCCCTGGGTCAGG